AGTGATGTGGTGAGCGTGTGGTGAGCGTGTGGTGAGTGGTGAGTGATGTGGTGAGCGTGTGGTGAGTGATGTGGTGAGCGTGTGGTGAGCGTGTGCAGGTGAGCGCTGTGAGTGAGATTACGAAGAAGATTCGCAGTCTGCAGGAAACGATGGACCAGTTCAGTGACAAGGTGGGAACTTCACCAGAATCACGACCATCATCATCACCACCACCACCATCATCATCATCACCACCATCATCATCACCACCATCATGACCATCACCATCATCATCACCACCATCATGACCATCATCACCACCATCACCACCATCATGACCATCATCATCACTATCACCATCACCACCACCATCACCACCACCACTACCATCATCACCACCATCACCACCACCACCATCATCACCACCACTACCATCACCACCACCACTACCACCACCACTACCATCACCACCATCATCACCATCACCACCATCATCACCACCATCACCACCATCATCACCACCACCACTACCATCACCACCATCATCACCACCACCACTACCACCACCACTACCATCATGACCACTACCACCACCACTACCACCACCACTACCACCACCACCACTACCACCACCACTACCATCATCACCATCACCACCATCATCACCACCACCACTACCATCACCACCATCATCACCACCACCACTACCACCACCACTACCATCATCACCACTACCACCACCACTACCACCACCACTACCACCACCACCACTACCACCACCACTACCATCATCACCATCACCACCATCATCACCACTACCATCACCACCATCATCACCACCATCACTACCATCATCGCCACCACTACCACCACCACTACCATCATCATCACCACCACTACCACCACCACTACCATCATCACCACTACCACCACCACTACCATCACCACCACTACCACCACCACTACCATCATCACCACCACTACCACCATCACCACCACTACCACCATCACCACCACCACTACCACCATCACCACCACCACTACCATCATCACCACCACCACTACCACCATCACCACCACCACTACCACCACCACTACCACCATCACCACCACCACTACCACCACCACTACCACCATCACCACCACCATCACCACCACCACCATCACCACCACCACTACCACCACTACCACCATCACCACTACCAACATCACCACCACCACCACCACCACTACCAACATCACCACTACCACCATCACCACTACCACCATCACCACCACCACCATCACCACCACCACTACCACCATCACCACCACCACCACCACTACCACCACCATCACCACCACCACTACCACCATCACCACCACCACTACCACCATCACCACCACCACTACCACCATCACCACCATCACCACCATCACCACTACCACCATCACCACCACCACTACCACCATCACCACCACCACTACCACCATCACCACCACCACTACCACCATCACCACCACCACTACCACCATCACCACCACCACTACCACCATCACCACCACCACTACCACCATCACCACCACCACTACCACCATCACCACCACCACCATCACCACCACCACTACCACCATCACCACCACCACTACCACTATCACCACCACCACTACCACCATCACCATCACCACCACCATCACCACCACCACTACCACCATCACCACCACCACTACCACCACCACACTACCACCATCACCACCACTACCACCACCACCACTACCACCATCACCACCACCACTACCACCATCACCACCACCACTACCACCATCACCACCACCACTACCACCATCACCACCACCACTACCACCATCACCACCACCACTACCACCATCACCACCACCACTACCACCATCACCACCACCACTACCACCATCACCACCACCACTACCACCATCACCACCACCACTACCACCATCACCACCATCACCTACCACCATCACCACCACCACTACCACCATCACCACCACCACTACCACCATCACCACCACCACTACCACCACCATCATCATCACCACCACCACCACCATCATCACCACCACCACTACCATCACCACTACCACCACCACCACCACTACCACCACCACCACTACCACCACCACTACCATCATCACCACTACCACCACCACTACCATCACCACCACTACCACCACCACTACCATCATCACCACCACTACCACCATCACCACCACCACCATCATCACCACCACTACCACCATCACCACCACCACTACCACCATCACCACCACCACTACCATCATCACCACCACCACTACCACCATCACCACCACCACTACCACCATCACCACCACCACTACCACCATCACCACCACCACCATCACACCATCACCACCACCACTACCACCATCACCATCACCACCACCACTACCACCATCACCACCACCACTACCACCATCACCACCATCACCACCACCACTACCACCATCACCACCACCACTACCACCATCACCACCACCACTACCACACCACCATCACCACCACCACTACCATCACCACCACCACTACCAACCATCACCACCACCACTACCACCATCACCACCACCATCACCACCACCACTACCACCATCACCACCACCATCACACCACCACTACCACCATCACCACCACCACTACCACCACACTACCACCATCACCACACCATCACCACCACCACTACCACCATCACCACCACTACTACCACCATCACCACCACCACTACCACCATCACCACCACCACTACCACCACCACTACCACCATCACCACCACCATCACCACCACCACTACCACCATCACCACCACCACTACCACCATCACAACCACTTCCACCATCACCACCACCACCATCACCATCACCACCACCACTACCACCATCACCACCACCACTTCCACCATCACCACATCACCATCACCACCACCACTACCACCATCACCACCATCACCACCATCACCACCACCACTACCACCATCACCACCACCACTACCTCCATCACCACCACCACTACCACCATCACCACCACCACCATCACCACCATCACCACCACCATCATCACCACCACCACCACCATCATCACCACCACCACTACCATCACCACTACCACCACCACTACCACCACCACCACCATCATCACCACCACCACTACCATCATCACCACCACCACTACCATCACCACTACCACCACCACCACCACTACCACCACTACCATCATCACCACCACCATCATCACCACCACCACCACCATCATCACCACCACCACTACCATTATCACCACCACCACTACCATCACCACCACCACCACTACCACCATCACCACCACCACTACCACCATCACCACCACCACTACCACCATCACCACCACCACTACCACCATCACCACCACCACCATCACCACCATCACCACCACCATCATCACCACCACCATCATCACCACCACCACTACCATCACCACTACCACCACCACCACTACCACCACCACCACCATCATCACCACCACCACTACCATCATCACCACCACCACTACCACCACCACTACCATCACCACTACCACCACCACTACCACCACCACCACCATCATCACCATCATCACCACCATCACCACCACCACCATTACCACTGTAGTAAGCTGCAAGAGGCTTGGACGACGGGGTTGGAGGCACACTTATTTATTAACACCAACTTGTGTACAGTAACGGGTACACCCAGCACTTGAAGCGGTATCGTCCCCTTCACTCGTCTAACAGGGAGACACAACATCTAACCCCACTAATCTACGCCCGAGTCCTCCACTACGGAGCTAGGGGAGGCTACCTATCCCAGCCCTGGTCAAGCTGGGATCCCGGCACCCTGAGTCTCCAGACCGGCTCTTACAAGAACGTCAGTCTGGGCTCTCGGGGCCACGCCACCGGCTTGCCCTGGTCGGCCCTGACAAGGACAGCGAGCCAGGGGAGCTCCGGGGCCTATTCTAGCTGGTCTTCACTCTTCGCTGGTTAAGCTAATACTCGACCTCGAGCCCTCCGGCTCACCACCTTTTATAGCGCTCGGCCCCCGGGAGGGGCCCGTGGGGGATGCAGGTGCAGACGTTGGTGTGAGCACCTCCTCTGTGTACGGCCCTAACCACGCCCCTTGTGTTTGTTAGCCATCCGTGCCCATACATCTACACAATTACACCTCTACACTATTATAGAGTTTGGATAGCTACTACTACAGCCGGTGGATAAACTATACACTACACTATACACTCCACAGTAGTGCCGTACTGCAGTGGCGGCTCGTCAATAGAGGGCGCAGGGGCGCCGCCCCCATCAATATTCTAGAAATATACGTATACAAAATTTATATAAAAATACATAAATAAACTATTTTTTTCATACGATGTGCCGGCTGGTAGTAAGAAAAGCATCAGCATTTAATAAAAACTGGCTTTAATCGGTCAACTATTTTCTATGTTTTTCAATGTGTTTCATGCGGGGCGCCGGACAAATGGATGTCTATGTGAGACTTTACATTTTCGGACAGCATGTGACCTGAAGCTGGTCTCTAATTGGTTTCTTAAAGATTCTCCTCGGGGCGCAAGTCGTTGCGTCCCTGGCCAATCAGAATTGGATACATGTTATTTTATCCAATCTGATTGGTTCTCGTCACCTGTCATTCAAATTTACGCTGTAGGCCACTACTGCGAGTGCGAAGGCGACACCACTTTGACACTTGCTAGGCTGATCAAATTTTTTGTGTAAACAATGGCAGCAGTTCATCCAAATTCTGTAATTTATTTACAAACAAAAACCCTTTCACAAGGCTTTCGCTGGAAGAAATAAAAAAGATAAAGGATCTCGGACCGGACCAACCCGATTTACAATCCAGCAGCAGGCCAGTGACAGAGGACAAAGCTACACACGAAGCTTCACCCGCGCTTGTTATGAGAAACGGAGGTGGCTGGCTGGATGTGATGTTAGCAATTCTCTTTTTTGTTTTCCCTGTCTTTTATTTCAAAGTGTCGGCACTGAAGTTTTGTGGACAACGACGGGGGTAAGAGACCTCAAACATCTCTCTGACAAATGCAAACGTCATGAAAGTAGCCGCAGCCATATTGATAATAGCATGAAACTAACGTTTTTATGTTCAAGTAGGAAACATGCTTTTTGGTACTTTGGTCTGAAATGTATATAAAAGAGAAACATTTATGTTCAAGTAGGAAACATGCTTTTTGGTACTTTGGTCTGAAATGTATATAAAAGAGAAACATTTATGTTCAAGTAGGAAACATGCTTTTTGGTACTTCTTTTGGTCTGAAATGTAAATAAAGATCATCAAAATTTATATTAAAGTAGTCAAAATGGTTTTTGGTACTGCTTTATATTTATTTGCCCCCCTCAATAAAATAAAAAAAATGCGCCCCCCCAAAAATAAATATCACCAGCCGCCACTGCCGTACTGCGTAATGAATTGGCACGGTCTGTTCCTGTTGTTCTAAACCTTAATAAATGGCTGTGTCGGGTGGTGGCGGGTTTAACGACGGCGCAACATTTATATATTTATTATTTATCTATTTGGTTGTCTACGTTCATTGTCGTTGTTTTTCTTTGCATTCCCCCCGCCAGATTCGTCAAGCAAGAAATGGACGATAATGCAGCGCTTGGGAAGCGGCCAGACTCTACGGAGAGCCTGCAAGACATCGATGCTGGTGAGCACGGTGGCACCACGGTGGATAGCAGACGTTGACTACCTCGCCTGGTCTACAGGAGGTCGTGGGTTCGATCTCTCTCTCATCATCATCACGGTGGCTATGAGATGTTGACTACCTCGCCTGGTCTACAGGAGGTCGTGGGTTCGATCTCTCTCTCATCATCACGGTGGCTATGAGACGTTAACCACCTCGCCTGGTCTACAGGAGGTCGTGGGTTCGATCTCTCTCTCATCATCATCACGGTGGCTATGAGACGTTGACTACCTCGCCTGGTCTACAGGAGGTCGTGGGTTCGATCTCTCTCTCATCATCATCACGGTGGCTATGAGATGTTGACTACCTCGCCTGGTCTACAGGAGGTCGTGGGTTCGATCTCTCTCTCATCATCACGGTGGCTATGAGACGTTGACCACCTCGCCTGGTCTACAGGAGGTCGTGGGTTCGATCTCTCTCTCATCATCATCACGGTGGCTATGAGATGTTGACTACCTCGCCTGGTCTACAGGAGGTCGTGGGTTTGATCTCTCTCTCATCATCATCACGGTGGCTATGAGATGTTGACTACCTCGCCTGGTATACAGGACGTCGTGGGTTCGATCTCTCTCTCATCATCATCACGGTGGCTATGAGATGTTGACTACCTCGCCTGGGATACAGGAGGTCGTGGGTTCGATCTCTCATCATCATCACGGTGGCTATGAGATGTTGACTACCTCGCCTGGTATACAGGAGGTCGTGGGTTCGATCTCTCTCTCATCATCATCACGGTGGCTATGAGATGTTGACTACCTCGCCTGGTATACAGGACGTCGTGGGTTCGATCTCTCTCTCATCATCATCACGGTGGCTATGAGATGTTGACTACCTCGCGTGGGATACAGGAGGTCGTGGGTTCGATCTCTCATCATCATCACGGTGGCTATGAGATGTTGACTACCTCGCCTGGTATACAGGACGTCGTGGGTTCGATCTCTCTCTCATCATCATCACGGTGGCTATGAGATGTTGACTACCTCGCGTGGGATACAGGAGGTCGTGGGTTCGATCTCTCATCATCATCACGGTGGCTATGAGATGTTGACTACCTCGCCTGGTATACAGGACGTCGTGGGTTCGATCTCTCTCTCATCATCACGGTGGCTATGAGACGTTGACTACCTCGCCTGGTATACAGGAGGTCCTGGGTTCGATCCCGACCCTGACGCCTGTTGTACAATGCTCCCACCACACCGTCCTCCCCGCCCGTCCGTACCTTTGCAGCAGACAAGAAGACTGCAAGCGCCGCCGGCGACAAGCGGCACGCGTGCGGGCAGTGCGGCGAGCGCTTTCCCCACTTCGAGACGCACACGGGCGAGAAGCAGTACGTGTGCGCCGTGTGCGGCAAGGGCTCCGCGCAGGCCTGCAACTTGAACCTGCGAGTGAGGTCGCACACGGGCGAGAGGCCGTACGTGTGCGAGGAGTGCGGGAAGAGTTTTCCCGGCTGCTCCGACATGAAGAGGCACGCCAGGACGCACGTGGGCGAGAGAACGTACGTGTGCGACAAGTGCGGGCAGGGGTTCACGCAGGCGGACAGGTTGCGCGTGCACGCAAGGAAGCACACGGGGGAGAGGCCGTACGTGTGCGCAGTGTGCGGCAAGGGGTTTGCTTTGCGTCGCCACCTTCAGCGGCATTCGGTGACTCACGGGGAGTGAGTCTAGCTAGGGAGGGGGTCTAACCGAATACGTTTGGTGGTGCACACTGGGAGGCACGCACGCGGCTGTGAGAGGCTGTGAGCTCGGGGGGGCGTCGGGAATTATTTCAAGAAACAAATCTACACTACTATATACTATACACTACACTACTATACACTATACACTACACTACTATACACTATACACTACACTACTATACACTATACACTACACTACTATACACTATACACTACACTACTATACACTATACACTACACTACTATACACTACTATACACTACACCACTATACACCACTATACACTACACTATACACTACACCACTATACACTACACTATATACTATTACACTATACACTACACTATACACTACTATACACTATACTAATAATTAATTGGTGCGTTGTTTACGTGACAAACCTTACTGGCTGTGTCGGGTGGTGGAGGGTTACGACACAACATTGATACTTATGTGATCGAACCCAAAATACTTTAAGATGATTAATGAACACGCTGTCCCGACATTCACTGCAATCAATCCCAGCCTCGCACGTCTGCACGACGATCTTTAGAGAACACACCTTGTTGAAATCTTGCCCTAAAAGTCGTGGTTGTTTTCGGTATCCATGTCGTGCGCGCGAATAAAAACTCGAAGTGCCAAACAAACACCGCTCAATGTAGTACTGTTACTGTTATATGAATATGCCAAACGCCCGTTTATTCAACTCTATGTAGACGACATAAAATGCACCAAGGTGCCGTTTATTCCCTCTATTTTATTTCACCTTTATACTAGTAAATGCATTCGAGTTTCCCCATCTAAGGTCAATTAATCTCAGACGTGATCGTTTGGAAATGAAAGACTACGAGTCTTTAAATCTCACAGCGTTTCTTGTCAAAACAAACACTTTTAATTAACGTTACACTAGAATACAGTAATTTTTTCTTTAACTCCTCTATACCCGGTCGATATCCCTGTACCGGTACTGAGTATTATTCCTACCAGCCCACCCCGCAGGCTCCTGTTATGTTGATAATATCATAATTTTATGTAGATATCCACATTTACTTAATATTTTCTTCTGCAGTTTTTATTGAAAATGCAATATTTGATATCTTAAAAACCTGATGTGATGGACAAAAACTGATGCCAGATTTGGAATCGGCACCCCAAAATTACCTTAAACTCGTTGTTAATACCTAATGCCAGAACAACAAGTGTGTTGACCAGTGTTATTGTGTGTGTGCTACATGTATATTGCAACAGCGTGGTTTGCGTGGGGGGTGAATCCACCGGAACTCCGCCCCTCGCCGCGTGACGTCATGGCGCGAGATGAAGAAACGAAGAGACAGAAATGGCGGACGTGTTGTTGTCTCGCTCTGCGCTGCTGCTGCTGCTGTTGCTGCTGCTGCAGGCGATGGCGATCGCGATGGGCAGTGAGTCGGCGGTTGTCTGCTGGGACGTGCCATCTTATTCGCGAGGCTACTTTGTTTTTGTGTGTGTTTGTGATAAGTTGCCAAGTGCACCTAGCCTGGCACGAGCGCTGTTGGTAACGGGGAGCGGTGGCGCACTGGTTAGCGACTGGGGGGGGGGAGACAAAGGCGGCCGGGCGTGGTGCTGCTGCTGCTGACTCGCTAACAGCACTTGCCCCAACAGTCTGTGGAACGCTACACGGGGATCTTTGTGGGTCTATGGGTCTCTGTGTGAGTCTATGGGTCTCTGTGTGAGTCTATGGGTCTCTGTGTGAGTCTATGGGTCTCTGTGTGAGTCTATGGGTCTCTGTGTGAGTCTATGCCTCTCTGAGTGAGTTTATGGGTCTCTGTGTGAGTCTATGGGTCTCTGTATGAGTCTATGGGTCTCTGTGTGAGTCTAGGGGTCTCTGTGTGAGTCTGTGGGTCACTGTGTGAGTCTATGCCTCTCTGAGTGAGTTTATGGGTCTCTGTATGAGTCTAGGGGTCTCTGTGTGAGTCTGTGGGTCACTGTGTGAGTCTATGCCTCTCTGAGTGAGTTTATGGGTCTCTGTATGAGTCTAGGGGTCTCTGTGTGAGTCTGTGGGTCACTGTGTGAGTCTATGCCTCTCTGAGTGAGTTTATGGGTCTCTGTGTGAGTCTAGGGGTCTCTGTGTGAGTCTGTGGGTCACTGTGTGAGTCTATGCCTCTCTGAGTGAGTTTATGGGTCTCTGTGTGAGTCTAGGGGTCTCTGTGTGAGTCTGTGGGTCACTGTGTGAGTCTATGCCTCTCTGAGTAAGCCTGTGTGGGTAAATCTACGTGTTTGGGGCACTAACAGAGAAACACAAATACAATTACGTGACTCTTGAAGACATTACTTCACAACCGTGTCACCCCCCCCCCCCCCCCCTCTTGGCAGCCGTCTCGTGGGTAGAGAAAACGGAGGGGGAGACGGTGGTGCTGGGCTGCACCTGGAAGGTCGATCCGACGGCCACTGAGCAGCTGGACGTGGAGTGGTTCCTGCAGACGCCCACTACCAACATCTACGTGAGGAAGAGAGATACAGAGAGCCCGTCGCACACGCAGAGACGCCTGTAGGCTCCCACGCATTAATACTGAGCCCTAAGGATCGTATAGGAGCCTCAGTCTGGCTCCCTGAGTCTCAGTCATTAACACCGAACCCTATGGGATTCTTAGTCTGGCTCTGTAAGTCTCAGTGATTAACACTGAACCCTATAGGAGCCTCAGTCTGGCTCCCTGAGGCTCCCTCATTAACACTGAGCTATAGGAGACTCAGTCTGGCTCATTGAGGCTCTCTCATTAACACTGAGCTATAGGAGCCTCAGTCTACTATACACTACACTATACACTACTATACACTACACTACACACGACACTACTATACACTACACTACACACTACACTTTACACTATACACTACACTATACACTACACTATACACTACACACTACACTTTACACTACACTATACACTACACTATACACTACACTATACACTACAAGTCCACAGGCCAGAGGTCGCTAACGGGTTTTGATTCCTTACCCGTACCCGGCCGCACCAGGGTCGCAAATGGGTGCCCGTACCCGTACCTGGCCTGGTACGGGTACCCGTTCCCTACCCGTACCCTACCCGAAATGAGTGACACACGGTTACTCACCAGTGACTCACAGCCTACCCGTACCCGGCCGCACCAGGGTCGCCAACGGGTACCCGGCTACCCGTACCTGGCTGGGTACGGGTAGCCGGGTATCGGGTAGGGTACGGGTATCGGGTACCCGGTTGCGACCTCTGCCACAGGCTCCTACGCAGCCGCCCGTAGGTTCATACGTAGCCTCCAGCAGACTCCAACACAGACACCTGTAGGATCCTACGCAGAAGTCGCCCGCAGTCTCGTACAGAATCTGTATCTGCACTGCAGGAGGAATCCGATCAGCTGTAAAGCTCTTTGTCCACAGATGTCCAGTAGAGGCACGGGGGGGGGGGGGGGGGGGTCAGAACGTTCCAACAACAAACGGCTACAAGAACACGATAGGAGTGCAAAGTATAGGAAAACAAATGTCACTTAAACAGTCTAAAAATCAATAGAAGTGTAAACCTGGTAAAGCCCACTCAGCTCTGAGCTTCTTTATTCAGAAGCGACCTGGCCACACACGATTGCCCATCAAGGTGGCTTATCATCATCATCACGTGCACAGACGGCCTGGCCTGGCACAACACACCCTGGCAATGTGTCACCGCCGCTCAGTGACGAATGCTGGCTGCTGCTGCTATGGTGTCGGTGTGTGTAGTGCTGCGTGCATCTGTCAGTAATCTCAGTCGATCAACCCTCTGCAGAGGTCGCAAACGGGTTTTGATTCCTTACCCGTACCCGGCCGCACCAGGGTGGCAATCGGCTACCCGTACGCTACCCGTACCCTACCCGTACCCGGCCGGGTATCGGGTAGGGTACGGGTATCGGGTACCCGATTGCGACCTCTGGGATGAAGCCATGTTGCAGGCGCGGGTCGGTTGATTCTAGGAACTTGAATTGTGAGAAGAGACAAGACGTTGGGAAATGAACGACAAACGGTGACTCACCAGTGACTCACGGCCTACCCGTACCCGGTTGCACCAGGGTCACAAACGGGTACCCGTTGCCATACCCGGCCGGGTAGCCGGGTACGAGTATCGGGTACCCCGTTGCGACCTCTGACCCTCTGGCTCTGCCCCGTGACCTGCCAGTGGACAACACCACTGACGATAATAACGAACCGCTGCTGGCCCACGCCTAGGTTCTCTCGGCCTGAAACGAGTACCCGCTGCGGTTGCCTAGCGAACGTCGTCGCTGGGGGTGTCGGGCACCACCCCACCACCCACGTGACGTTGCCTTCATAGGCGTCATGGGAAGCAGGAGCGTCGATAGCGCTCCGTCGCGCTACGAACCTGGAGACCCGAGTTCGATTCCCACTCGTGGCCCAACACCGAACGTGGTCCCTGGGCCTTCCCTAGGTCAACTCGGCCTAAAATGCGGTTGCGTAGCGAACGTCTCCACCGTAGCCGGCCTCCGCTGCGGCGAGCGCTCTGCCCGGCAGCGCGCTGTTTAGCTGGCGGTGGCGGCGGTGGTGGTGGCGGTGGTGGCGGTGGTGGTGGTGGCGGCGGTGGTGGTGGTGGTGGCGGTGGTGGTGGTGGCGGCG